CTTCCACCATAGGTAAAGCTCTGCTGGACCATCCACTCCATCCAACCCCACAACCTTAAGAGGTTGTGGGGCTTGCGTTGCCAGGACTGTGCACCAACACCAGGAAGTCAGTCTTGGCAGACACTCCACCAACTGCAGGATAGCTTTATAGACAGTGCTGAGGGTTCTGGACACACCACAGGGCATGTAATTGGCGTGCTCCTACTCAGCACTTGTGCCCTGGGAAGTGCCAATAATACAAGGCAAGCAGTAAGTTAAAGCACTTGCTCTTCCATGGGCTGGAAGATATTCTTCAATCCACAGAGGCTTGTGACAAAAGGTAATGACTGACAGTGTTCCTTCAACTAAGTCAGGGTGAGAACATGTCAAAGCAGCAATTAAAAGTGCAGTGTTTAAAGAAAAGAGACAAATGAATTGAACAGAACCACCAATTTTCATTTCAGCATCATTACATGCCTCTTCATTAGCAGAGATGTCTCCCTAATCTGTGCACACACAGAATAGGACCTGGCAGGGCTGAAATACCGGCTCACCCACAAATATTACCACTAGTTCCCATCTTCTGACAGCAAGCCCACCGCCTCAGACTGCACCAAACCAAATCACCCCGCAGTTCTGGGTCCTGTCCTGCAAAGCAAGGTTTACTCCGCAGTACCCAAAGCTCAGATGAAATAGTTTTCTCCTCCTTGCACTTGCAAACACCATGCACCAAGTGTCCAGGAAATGCAATCTTCTCATTCCCTTTGCCACACGTATCATAGTTACTCTTTAACCTCCGTTTGGTTGACCTTGCTCCCAAAGAAAAGACTCCATCAATCATCAGAGTTTGGTAAGCTCTTTAATGGCAAGCTCATGGTGTAACAACACCGCTGGATTTGATGCCTCGGTGGTAGGAGAGGAAGGAAGATCAGAGGAAAGGCAGGGCCCCACTGGAGGCTTACACCTTTTAAAGCATTGAACAAAAGGACAACATCTTTTGGTGTTTTACAGCTTTGTAGTCCCAATGAGAGGTCGGTCTTCCAGCCAGGAGAAATGGTGGAAGCACACCAAAACCAGCCTTTGCACAGCGTGGCACAACATGATTTCTGCTCAATATGCCGAGGGCTCACTGGTCCCTGCGTTAGCAAAGGAAAACTTGACAACAAAGAAAATATGCATTGACTGAAAACCAGAGCTGATGTTTCCATCACCGCTCCCAAAGCAGACATCCTTTACACGCAGCGTTGCCTACATGAGCAGCAGCATGTCGGTGCAGAAAGGGAATTTCAATGTATTTTACATGAAACCAGTGAGCTTCTCTGTAGGCAGCAGTACTAGTTCAAGAAGTTCTTTTCTTGAGACACATGAACCCCCTTTTTGCTAGCCTGTGTATTTATGACCAAGTTCATACTGACTGAGCAGTGCTATGTAGCTCTGTGGCAACTGGGGTTTGCAATAACGCAATTACCCTAACAGAGGTGAGGACCAAACTTAAGGAATCTCTTCTAGTACCTGCCTTGGAAGTGATGTCCCTGAGCCACCAGCTCCATGGTGACCCTGCAGGGACCACCTCAAGCCCAGGCTGTTACAGGGTCCCAGAGGTGCTGCCCTGAATCACTGCTGCCTAGCTGTCACACCACGGCTTCAGAGACAGGCTGCTAGGGCGGAGGGGAGCTCCTGCCAGAATTAAACAGCTAAAACAAAGCATGTCCCACCTCTCAGTGATTTACAGGAAGGGGCACGCAGCTCGAGCCCCTGAAGAGATCCATCCTGGTTCCCCACATCCCGTGGCCAGACCAAAACCAGCCAGTGCTGAGAAAGCAAACTGCAGGCTGGGCCAGGCTCCCCAGCGACCTGCAGCCAGAGAGGGCTCATTTTCTGGCTGCCCAGCCTGGAAAGCCTCTATGGGTCATGATTTTCAGAGACTGGAGTATTTAGCCAGGCATCACTCCTTGCGGAAACATCTTGGGTTTGGCACCTAAAATGACTGCTCTCTTCCGCATAACCCTGTCTGGCATGGACAGCTTGTGGGTCTCAAAGGATGACACATCTCCCATGTCCCCTCATGCCCTGGAGCAGAAAGGACAGTGTGGCTCACTGTGCTGAACTGCAGCTCTCACTGATGGACCTGGCTGCAACTTGTGCCAGGTAAGAGGGTGTTCTCTTCCTGTTTCTTTGCTTTGACTCTTCTGGGAATGGGAATTTCTGAGAAGAGAGTGGTAAGCATGGACAGGGGGTAAGGATGGTAGATGAAGCAGTGATCTCACCTCCTGCTACACCTAAAGCTGACCACGAGTAAAATGGCTATGGACTTCAGCCCTGGTCCCAGTGAAAGATCAGTAAAGATGCATGAATAGGCTGGGAATCTGTTCTATACGGCAGCTTTCCAAAGCAACATCTGTAACGCTGCTGCCACCACTTTTACTGTCACACTCTCATGTCCCACTTGCAGAGGGGGAAAGGGCAGTTGCCTCCTCAGCAATGCTGTGGCAGCAGCTCCTCCCCACTGCCCCCAGCCAACACCTCACACACGGGATACAGTGCTGAGACACAGCAGGTAGCGCGCGGGTCACTGCTGCAGGACAGCTCTGCCTATCCCTTTTGACAGCGGCATTCTGACAGACAAAAAGCACAGCGCTATGGGAACCGCCTGGAACACAGCCCAGAGCAGGGCAGGAGGCCAGAGGGGTGCAGGTCACCATGCTCAGGGGTGTGCTATTCACCGGGTTGCTGTGAGGAAACAGGCTGACAAGTTTTCTCTCATGAGCAAGTCCTTTACAAGATGCTGCTGTGCACCTGAGCAAGCAGCTTCCTGCGCCCTGACTGCTGCTCCTACCCGCTCGCACCGTGTCATAAATAACAACGTCGGGGAAGGCCTTTTAGTTTGCTTTTCTCCATCCCTTCCTCTCAACCACCTCAATAATGCATTCATTAGGCAGGACACTAACGGGAAAACACAACCAAGCTCCGGGCCCCAGTAAACTCCAGAGGTTTTTTATACACTGGTGAAGTTCAATAAGCAGATACTTGCATTGTAAGTAGATGGAAGTAGAAGTTCAATAAGCAGATACACATGCATTGTAAGGCAGGATGGTTTGGGCTCAGATATCCCAGCATCTCTCTGAAAGGGGCCTTCCTCCCTCTTGCCCCTGCTACCCAAACCAGTTGTTGCATTTCTGACATCTGCTCTTTCCTCTGGCATCCCTTGCATTTCTCATCGCCCAAGCAGCACTCTGCTCGCTGCACTCATGCAACTCATATTCCAAGGCACCAGTTGCCCTGGTATATTTGTGTTTAGCTAGAGCAGGAAATGCCTTTGAGAGAGAAGTGAGGGAAAATGGAGATTCTTCTGTGTCCTTTCACTAATGGTTTGCTTTGAGGATAGGCAATGATTACGCGCACCTCTTTCCACCCACAGATCTAAAAGCGCTTTATTCCCTGGTGGGCAAATAACACTAATGGCCCCTTTTAGAAAAGGCTTAAAGTGGCACTTCCAAAGGAGTTACCCTGCTCCCACTGAATTCCATGAAGGTCTGGATGCACAATTGGAGGCCTGCCTTGAATTCCCAGCCACTGACATCCACCTGAAGCTCAGGATAAGTCAATGGCAGAGCTCTGAACCCCCATCTTCTCACCGAGCCCCCAGGCTTTCAAGTATTTATGCATGTGTTCTCAAACTCAGTCTGGTTAACTACTGAATAGCTACTAACCTTAGTACGTGGTGGGAGTGAGGGCAAAATAACATACAAATACTTTGTAATAGAACTAAACCTGGTCTGCATCTCTTGCATCGTTTGGCAAATACAGAACAAGTAACAGGCAACGCAGGAATGTATTTAGTCAAAGTAAGCAATCCATATCTTTTGATAAAATACATTCTATATTAATGCTCATTCACCTTCAATATACATGAAAATCCAGTTGTCTATGTAGAAAATTCTTCATTCTCAGCGCTGCTTGCTCACGCTTCGGTTCAGCAGCAGGGCTCAACACATTCAGTTCCCAGCAAAGTGAGAGGGCCAAGAAGGCTCAGCTTTCTGCAGGACCAAGCCTCATGCACCCCCTGGTGCACCTGATCCCGCAGGTCCCATTTGAAGGCAATCCCGCTGGCTTCAGTGGGAATTTTGCAGGGGTGAGCGCTGCAGAAGGGCCCCCCGGCTGCCCAGCACTTGCAGTGTGGTGTGGAAGTCACCCACATGCCATATGGCGTTCCAACAAAAAAGGTCAGTTAGTGAATATAGAAAGTAATAGATCTACATAAATCACAGTATCGTGGTTTTGCAACCAGACTAACGCTCAGCTCCTCATGAACAATCCAATTGCTATGCACAGAAAGGTAGCAGAGTGCAGTGAATAGTTCAACATCCTTTATGCAATTACAAGCACTGGATCTTCATCTTTCCTCATTTCAGGACTTCCTGCCTATCCTGCTGCCACCCGGAGCCCAGTTCTCCACTGGACCATCTGAAGTCAATCCTCAGCACTTCGGCTGGTTCAGGTCGCATCTGCACCTCTGCCATGGGCCCCTCACACCATGCAAGGGGTGCAAGGCACCCTCCACTCCCACTCATGTCCACCCCTGTCCCCTCCCCTCTGTTGTGCCAGCACCCATCAGTGAAACCACTCGCTGAATCAGGGGGGATTGATCCAGCTGGAAAACCGCCTGTCCATAAGAATGCATGGGGTTATTTCCCAACCAAACCAACCCCACAGCACAGCTCACGATGCAGCCGTGCCCGGGGCTGGTGCCGGTGTGTGTGTGCACGCAAGGGGTGCAAGCAGCCAGCAAACCCGAACAGCAGGACTTTGCCTCCAGCTTGCATCGCTGTAAGCTATGTCTGCATTACACTACAAGAGAGGAAAGTCAGCCCCTACTTGAATGAGCCACAACCAAAGGACTGGATGCTGTGAAGAGAAAGGTTCTCCCGATGCAAGGCTCTGTTTAAGGTCATGGCACCTGGTTTAGCTGGGCAGGAAAGAAAAACTTAGGGACTTAAAGCATGGATGGAAACCACCACTGGTCTTTCTTACACTTTATTTTAGTAAGCAAAAAGCCTGTTGCTGCTGTACAGTGTTATACAACGAACTGCCATAGTCCTCATGTCACTGCTCCATAGAAAATGTGCTGTGACTACCACGTTTATGCCTGCATGCCAAAAGAATGTACAAAGTTGCACTAAGCTCTGTTTCTCTTCCACTTCCTTTTGATAGTCTTAAACTCTGACTTTTACAGTGTCGCAGCCACTTCTGCGCACACCTCCATACCACCCTGGTTACGGAAGGCCTTTGCCCAAGATTAAAAGACTCAAGTGCTGTGCATCTCTCAAGCCATCATCAGAAATGTAAACCACTAAGAAAATTTGCTGTCTTCGGTAATCTTAAAAAGAAAAGTCTTTAACAAACCTACTGAAAAGGAGCCATTGCCAACAATAGGGTTTTCAGACCGGTCCAAGCTGTTTCTAGAAGTTGTCCAGGCATTTTCTCTTCGCTCACGTGTTGCTTTATAAAGCTAATACTGTATAAAAGGGCTCTTTGAAGCATGTGACCTTCATTTCATTAGTTTTTAAGAGTCTGAAAAAGGAGTAAATTTAGAAACGTTTTGCTCAGTTGTGGAAAACGTCTGTATTACAACAGGATCTCCTCCGCTCCTCCCATGCGCAGTACAAAAGGCAAGTAAATAAAGACACCCTGCATCTTCACAGTCTGGTACTCATCCAAGTCACTAAAATCTATGCAAAGTAGGTACAAAATACAAGGGGTCTTCTTCTCCTGTAGACCAAGACCCCACCAAACCCCCCCTGGGATAAAAGTTCCCAGCTAAATAAAACCTCACTAGCTTTTACATCAGCCAAGGTAGTAGCAGTATTTTAGCTCCCCTCCAATGAGATGTAAATGCCTGGACCAGCTCAAAGGCCCAGGGAGAAGAACAGGTCCAGCATTTCAAGAGCCAGGTGCTGGTTTATACCCTTATGGCTTCCAAGTTAAGTTGCACTTCAGTTCACGATGCCACGAGGTTGGAGATATAATTTAGCAGTGGATTAAAGAAGCGCAAAGCTTGAAGTTGGTTGTCATGCAGAGGTGGGATAGGTGATGGCTCTTTTTAGACTGATTTGCGTGAAAGCAGCATTTGGCTTTGGATCATACGGTGTTGGAGGACCAGGGTTGGTTACAACTGCTGATAGTTATTACTCCCAGTCAGTAATTCAGCACTTGCAAACTCAGGTGTCAGGGAACCAACATCCAGATGTCTGACACCAATACTCCCCTGGGTTTCCTGCTTCCCACTGGTTTTGTTAAGCCTTCACGTGCACTTCTGCAGTGCCGGCCATCAAACTAGTGTTTTTCAGGAGAAATCTCTCCAAGTTTGGTTACTTTGTCAAAAACCCTGTTTAACTAAAAAGACAAGCACAGGTCGTGCTTGCTCGCTGCGCTGGTGCCTCGGAAAGGGCACCGGTGAGGACTCAGCCCTCTCACCGCACGCTTCCCCCATCCTCGGTACTCTACATTCATGTCAGTGAACGCTACTCTCGGACACAAATCGAAGAGACAAGTCAGCGACAAAACTACTTCTAGGCTGATAACGGCAGGATGCTACCAAGACAACTCCATAGAAAACCCACTGAAGCAGGAGCAAAATTCAGGTCACTTCTTAGCAAAGCTCATCACAGATTATTATTATGATTATTATTATTAAATTCTTTTAAGCCATTTTGTAAAACCTTTATCCTGGGAGCCAGATATCCCCATGTGATGTGCTAGTTGGAACACGCTAACGTGGGACCACCTAACCCCACCTGGTACCAAAGGCTTCCGAATGATTTTTAGCTTCTTCGAAAATCACTGCTGACTGACACCCATCTGTTGGTGATCGGCTTCTGGTTCCTCTTCTTCCACATCCGCGTTATACTCTTCAAATGCATCATCATCAACATCTGGAAGCCCAAGTAACTACAAAGAAGAGAAAATACTGTGTAATAGTGAATTACACACTCATGCAGCTTCACTGGAAATCTTCATACAACACTTCTTGAAAGCCTCAAACCCCAGAATGTTCGCATTGCGTAACAATTGTGACTCAAAATCTTTCTTTCCCTCCTGTGCTATAGAAAGATTGGAAAATGCATCCTCACACCAAATTAAGTGCTCAGAGACTGGAAGAGAAATAAAACTAAAGCAAAGCACTTGCGAAAAGCTTTGCCTTCTTCCCTGAGGTCGTATCACCAGTTGTTGAGTGTTTAGACTTGGCAGTGGTTTAACTTCAGAGAGAACCATGGCAATACTGCAGCGGTAATTACCTTGGTTTAAGACTGCGCTTGGCAACCATATAAAAGTCAAAGAAGAAAGCATCCTCATGCAGAACTTGCTAGCATGGAGTAGGCAGAGTCTCTAAAATCCAAGGTCCCACCATGTTAAGCGCATCTCTTAAACCCTTCACTCCATCACGCCAGACAAAGCCCAGCATGCTGGGTGAAGCCCTCGCAGTGAAAAATACCGTGATTTGAACTCAAAATTGACCCAGTCCCTTCAGATTTCTGCAAATTAGATTTGGGCTTGTGAAGAGCTGCCAGCCTATCTTCCTCAGATAATGTCTGGATGCCTCCACCTGATGGATCTGATCACTGCAAAGGCACTTGTTCGCTAATATGAATGTGAACTTCTCACCCTCCTTTAAAGGGCTTCCAAGCCAAAAGAAGTCAGAAAGGTAGATAAACCAAATAACAGCCAAAATAACACACCTGTTGTGTAAATCCCATGTTAGAATCCTACACCAGCAGCTACTAACAGCCACAAAGCAAAAGCACGTGCCAGGCATTATTGGGAATACCATGCATCTAGCTTGCCAGGGCTGGAAGAGCATCACAGATGCATGCAGCTCCCTGGCTGGAGAGTGACACCACTGTTAGCTCTCAAAAGAGGCAAAGCCCAGGAAAATCAGGAGGAGAGTGACACTGGCAAGGCTGGTAGCATGAAAACGAGCAGGCTGTGGCGAGGCAGGTATTTAGGGACCTTAACTAATTTAGTCTGTGATCAGCATCCAGAATTAGTCAGTGGACACAAACACGATGCGCAGAAGTAGCCTCTGGGTCCAATGAAGCCTGTATTCTTCACTGTCACTGTGAGAAAAGCAGGTGGTTTTAGTTGCAGGGTTTCTTTGGCAGGCAAATGGAAGGAGAATTTGCTGACTAAACCCCCTCCTTCCCAGTTTAAAAATACTCATGGAAAGACCCCGAGCTGAAACCGTTCCTGTTTCCTGAGCAGAACAAAGAGTAAATGCTCCTATGCATGCATATTCCTCTAATCAAATGCTTAACTGAATGTGAAACTCCTTGGTTCGCTTTCAGCATGCGGGGGTTTTGCTTCATGTTGAAGCTAAAATTAAACTACTCCGTTTTCAAAAAGCAAAAGCAAGGCCTCTAGGCTTTCTTATCCCCCAGTATTAGTTTTGCTAAACTGACTCAGTGTATTCTAATTAAATGTGAGTGTTGGATTGCTCTGGTTTTATCACCTGGCAGAAAGAGATTTGATCACATTTGGTTTTGCCCAGCCCTGGTTATAATTCCTCCTTGATTTCCAGAGAAACGAGCCAAGGGCTCTTCATTTTATGGGATACCATAAGCCTTTCCCATGCAAAAGAAACACATAAATACACAAGAACCATCAAGAAGATGCACGTGATCCCAAAGGCTGGAGAGCACATCCTGCTTTTCACATATCCCATCTCCCTTTGCCCTCATGAAACACAGCTCTCCTCTCCCTGGCACAGTATAAATCAGAGTGATGTGGCAGACATCAGTGGTTTTACAGAGCGTAGAAAGCATGGGGATGGGATGCAATGGGATGGGATGCAATGGGATGGGATGCGATGGGATGGGATGCGATGGGATGGGATGCAATGAGATGGGATGCAATGGGATGCTCTTCAGAGAGAGGTACAGTTTTGTTCTCTCACAGACACTTTAGGACCTTCCAAGCCACTAAGGACCTCAACCATGCAGGTCATATCTCATCACTTCCCACACCACTGCAGACCCCTTACTGCTCTCTGGACTGCAGTGATAGATCAGCCCACACCTTGACCCCAAGGAGGGAGGATAAGGGTCCAAAGTGCAGGAAGCTCTACAAACACTGGGCCAAAGCAGAAGGGTATCTAAAAGATGAGGACAAATAAGATTATTATCCTAGACCAACTCCCACCTTGTCTTCCTTCAAATACACGTTTCTGCTTCTAGCCCATATCTACTTCATCTATAAAGCCCACATCTACTTCATCTAGTAAAGTATCAGCTGTGTGGCAGACTTGAAAGGACTTAAATGGAGAGTGGAAACAAGGAAGAAAGAGCTAAAACAGGAAAGGGATGTAGAAAAAGAGAGCTGATCCATCAGCCAAAAGGAACAAAACTGCCAGGTGGGGACGCATGGGGAAGAGGAGGACAAGAGGGTGGTGAGGAGGTAGAAAGGACAACCACCAGTGGCAGCACCACCTGAACTACGTGTATTTATTCCTGTTGGCCACACTACCCATCTGAAGGTAAAGGAGAGATCACTGGGATGTGTATGAATTGTATGAGGGCCACGAGGATGCTCAGGGGACTGAAGCACCTCCTCTATGAAGACAGGCTGAGAAAGCTGGGGCTGTTCAGCCTGGAGAAGAGAAGCTGCGTGGAGACCTCATAGCAGCCTTCCAGTATCTGAAGGGGGGCTTTGAGAATGCTGGGGAGGGACTTGGGACTATACAGGACAAGGGGTGATGGGTTCAAACTGAAACAGGGGAAGTTTAGATTGGATATAGGGAGGAAATTCTTTACTGTGAGGGTGGTGAGGCACTGGAATGGGTTGCCCAGGGAAGCTGTGAATGCTCCATCCCTGGTGGTGTTCAAGGCCATGTCAGACAGAGCCTTGGGTGAGATGGTTTAGTGTGAGGTGTCCCTGCCCATGGCAGGGGGTTGGAACTGGATGATCTTAGTGTCCTTTCCAACCTGAACTATTCTATGAATTCAGTGAATACGGCATAAATGGCTTTTGCACTGCAGATTCCCCAGTTCAGATGTAGGCTTTTGAGACTGAAGGTGAGTTCAATGCCCTTGCAATTTGCTGCTGAATTGCACTACTCCTGTTTTGGTTCTCTGTGAACTCTGCCAGTTGGTGTGATGTCCCTCAGGCATTTGTCATTTCTGATTTGTCTTTCTTTCTTAACTCTTTCAAAGTGCCCCGACTTCACCAAATAACCCAGGAGGTTTTAAGCCGTGAAGGCAGTGACGCTGCCTCCCACCAAAAGCTGATGTACAAGCACACTGAAAATCAAACCAAGTACAAGAGTGAGCTTCAGCGGTCTACATGATGCCACACTAAATATAACATGGTTCTGTTGAATCCTGAGGCAAAGGGCTTAGTCTCCAGGCAGATGTGCTTACAAGCACCAGCATGGACACCTCTGGCACCAGAGAGACAAGAGGTCAGAGAAGCTGGGATGCTCTGAGGCAAATAATGATATTTGAGCCCACCGCTATTGATAACACATGCACGTACCTGTGTGGTGGCTGGTACCTTTGGATGCTCCCTGAGTAAGTAGGGCTTTGCAGAAATCAACCCAGGAAGGCAGTAATGGGTAGAGACAACATGCCACCCCCCCCCTTTCAGTAAAGAAACAGCTTGACCTTGTCTACAGCAGGATTCAGAAGTACTGTTTAGCTGTTGCAGGTTAACCAACACTTGCTAAAGGCATTGTCCAAATAAATATCCTGCCCTGGCACTGTGTTTATGCCCATAAAACATAAGGGAGAGATGCCTGAGAGCAGTGAGGGCTGATAAGCAGCCCCCAGACCACCCTCTGCCTCCTGCAAGCAGGGAACAGCAGGGAGCAGAGGGAAATCTCTGTCTCTCACTGAGAGGGATGCCAGTTGCTGGGCATCCCTCATCTCACCTTCTCCAAAACACTGGGGCCAGCAGCATGAGCAGCCAATCCTTTCGCACACTGTAGCCCCGGAAGAGATGGGTCTCACCTTCAGCTGCAGTTTTACCTAAACTATCATTTTTCAACTTGCAGTTTGCCAGACCGGTCTCTGACAGCAGACTTAGTTGTGGCAGCGGAGAAGAAATGCCCTGCGATTGCTCTGTTACCTCCATGCTCACAATAAGGTGGTTTCATCAGCCCAGCAGAGAAAGGATGGGGGAACAACACAAAGTAATGCTAAGGAAATACTTTTCCAGCACTGAAGAAAAGTGGGTTTGCTATGGCAAAGGCCTGAGTGTGCAAAACAACTCCTTTTATACCTCTATTGTAACATCCTTCACTTTAAAAATGTCACTACATTCCTTATTAGTCTTGTCTGCACACACCCATACCTCAAATGACCTGGCTCTGTTATGCTCACACAAATCTCTCAATACTGGGTCAAAGGAGAACCTGAAGAACTTCATCTTTGTGCTGTATCCAAGAAAAAGTGAAGAGAAGTACTCGGCTACAGACTGAAAGAGGACTCTGACACTTGAGGATGCAGTTTTTGAACAGACAAAAGCATAATGAAATGCAACAGCCTTGAAGCAAAACCCAAAAGATGCAGCTTCTAAATGAAGGAGTTTTTCACAGAAGCATAATGATGAGAAGAAAATGTGCCCAGCGGTGTTGTATCCTTTAAAGCCACCTGAAGACTTTACATCAAGACCGGGTGTCTTTGGAAAAGACACAATACAGCTCAACTAAAATCTATGCGCTCGGTTGTGGGAATCACGGGGTGAAATGGGATGGATTAATGAAGGGCCCAGACTATATTGAGCATATTGGTTTCCCTTCCTTTGAACCTTTTTATTCTGAGGAGTAGCTTAACTTGGTTTGACTGAAGCAAATTTCTCAGGAACTTGAGCTACGCCAAAATAAACGTGGTTCAAATGAAATAAGTGATCTGTACTGATTTAATTAAGTCTTTTTGAAGTCCTCTTTAGTTAAACCAATGGAAGTTTCTCCTCAAAGACAGAGCTTTTCTGAGCAGGAGAAAACAGCTCTGAAGATCCAAGAGCCGAACACAGTTCTGGGAAACATATTTATACTTTTGTATGTTTGCACAATTACAAGCAGCTGTCCTGACAGATCAGATTTCCAGTCCCTTCTAAGAAAAGTGTGCATCTGTTCCATTTATTTCCAGTCTCTCAAAGGATCCTTTAAAACGATGCTCTTTTATGTCAACCAGCTGCGGTGGTCCGTGGCAAGGCAATGCAAGGGATTAACACAGGGAAGGCCAGTGTTTTCATATTCAGAGCAAAAAGGAGGGCCTGGAGCTCCCATACTTGGGACTATAAATATGGCCCTCAGTCAGCCTTCCTGGGGACATCATGGGAGCATGGTTCCGGCAACAAACCTCCACGCTGCTTTGCACCAGCCCCAGGCCCTCGGAAGGAGAGGCTGTGCAAACACGAAGGACAACAGCCGGCCAAATTCACCTCCTGAGAAAACGCAGGCTTTGACCCAAATCTTGGCGTTAAACGAGGACACAGAAAGCTGAAGAGCAGCGAAACAAATACAAGCCCACTCCCCACAAAACCCAGCTGCTGCTCTAAATCCCTCTCAAGCGGTGACCGCGCTGGTGTTGGTGAATACCAAGTGGTAACCATCCCAACAGCAAAATCTGGACCACCTGGAAGAAGCCCTGTAATGAAAGAAACTGCTGAGGAGGAACTGTACTTCCAGCTTCCCAGGGCTTTACTCTTGCTACCCAGACCCTCGCAGAACTGAGCAATTCCAGTGCCAGGAAACAACTGCCACAAAGTCCCAGGGTGCCGAGTCGCATCCCGCTCCTCCGAGTCAGCACTGCGCCAGCAGGATGAGACTGCCACCGGCTGCCACACCAGTTGGCCTTGCACTCCATGTGGGAATCTCAGCCTTGGAAATGCAGAGATGGAAATAAAAGGGCACCTGGCTTCCAAGAAACAACTTCCAATTGCCTTGTAGTAGCTTATGCGCTAACACCCCTGCACCTTGACAGCCGACTGGACACGTAAGCCCTGCAGAATAAAGCCACCTTGCTCCACCTAATGCTGCCCTATTAAACGTCACAGGTACCTGTCAATGTTTACAAGTAAAAAAGAGGCACTTACAGGTCTGAAGGATTTGAAGACTTTTTCCAGTATCTCATGGAGTGTCTTTTTCCCGCAGGAAGAGATGTAATCCTGTGCGAGCTGCAGGAAAGGTAAGCAGTCCTCACTTTCGCTCCACACGTGCTGAAAGGCAACAGCAACACAAGAGAGAAAAGGCATTAACAGGAATCCCACATGATTTTATAAGGTGATGTGTTGTGAACATCTGCCACAGCACACTGGGCTTCCTGCAGTTCAGACCCGTGCTGGGGACCGGACCTGCAGGCTGCTTCACAAGCTGCACTTCTGAGAAGGAGCCTTGATTTTATTAACACAGATACATCAGAAAGCAGGGAAATTGATCCAGAAGAGAAAAAGTCTTATGACTGCACCAGTGATTGAGGGTACAGACACCTTGTGCATACGCATTTTATCAGTAAAGGTGGTTTTGTTTCACATCAGCCCTACTCAGACCTGGAAGTCACTTTGGGTTTTCTCTTCTTCTGCATCATCTTCTACAATAAAGCCCTCTGGCAGATCTAAAGCATCCCTTTGTCTTCCTGGAATTAGTGGAATTGTGATGTGACCCTGGAGGTGGAACTTGGTGTGTAATTCTCTTGATGATGCAGAAGAAAACATGCAAAATATACCCACAGGTTACACCCAGAGCTGAGGAAGAGACATCCGGGCACTCACAACATCCAACACCTCATGCCTCCCTCCGTTTTGAAGTTTACTTCTCCTAGGTTTGAATCTTCTCTTCCTGGGCAAGCACATTTAAACTCACTTAGGATATTCCTCTCGTCTTGCTCTTCCTTTGGGGATACTGGTTCCCCAGCATGGTTCTGCAGAGCCTCTACCAAAACTGAGGCTTATTCTCCTGCTATGAGGTTGTTTGAAACGCAGCTGGTGAGCCACGGTGGGAGCCACAGGCAACAATGCTTCCTGCACAGAAAGGCAGCACGCAGCTCAAGCTAATGCGTGCTTTTAAAGACCTTCCTTTGAAGGCTTCATGCATGGGACTGTCTTAGATGGCCTGCCACACAGAGAAAGCATAATACTGCAAAATCCATTTGAGACTCGTACCTCTATTTCTGCACAGCAGCTCTTTTCCCCAAAGTGATGTGTGGGTTTTTATGGTCCTATAAACAGTAGATCATGCTTAAACAAGGAATGAGCAGGGTCTCTCTGAAGCTTAACTAACATTATTCAGGGGAAGAGACAGAATGACAGATGTTTCAATCCCTAACATAAGGCTTACGTGTCACCTTCCTGTTCAGCAGTGACTACCTGCCTGGGATGCAGCTTCACACTTCCCCAAGGAAAACACTACTTAACATCACCTAAGCTTCATCTTTAAGACAAAAACTGCAACTGCTTTGCTATGAGCCTCACCTGACCTACATTTTCTTTGCTGCTTGTTGCATTTTACAAGCATAAACATAGTGAAATGTTTTGTTAGGAATAGAGCCCTGCCTTGTTGAGTAGGTTCTGCTCTTTCCATATAAGCAGAGTCATCTCTTAACCAGTCTGGAAATAAGAAGAAGTTCTTTACAGTCTTGCCAACTCTCAAAGGCACATACCACAAGTCCCATGGTACCTTCATGCCATCTTAGAGCCATGGGCCTTGTACTCCTATAAATAGACCACCAAATCTCAGCTTCTGTTAAAACAAACAAACAAACGAAGTCTGCACTTTGAGACTTCTAGGGCCTAAAAAGGCAGACAGTCCCCCAAGTGAACTCAAACGAACCCTCTTTCAAATATCAAATGAACACTTTCAAGTAACAACATTTTAAGAACAGCCTCAAGATTCTGGCGGTCTGGCCCGTGCTTTCTTACTGCTTGTGTTAGCAATAACCCTTTAGCTACTTCTGATCTTGGCATCCAACTCAGGAGCTGGATGCTGCAGCTCGCCTATACCTGTTGCAATCGTTTCTATGTGTAAAACGATCATGACTGCTAAGATCCTGGTTCTTCTTTAAATTAGGGCTTCTTTTGGCTACCAGAGCCATACACAGCATCTTCCACACAAATGATAATCAAGCCATGCCCTTTTATAAATAACAGCTAATTCCTTCCCCAAGGAAAGTTAACTCCATGTTGTCCTATCGTGTTTTTAGTCTCTCAAGCTGCACCATGCTTTAGACTCCGGTGTGAATTTCTCAGCAGTAGTGCAGAATAAGGTGATCTAGCACATGCGGAAAACCTAAGCGAGTAACTTGATCATTGAGCCTCTGAAGAGAGGGATTTTTGCACAGCAGGTCAATAGCAAGTAAGGCTTCCAACAATTTCCACATCTGCAGAAGATGTAGGACTTTGTCTGCAGCAACGAATGCACTATGAAAGGTCTCTCATGCCGTAAGTGCATGCACCTCATTGTGGAATCCGGAATTCCATCTTCTTCCCAAGAAAACCTGTTAATAGCATGACTCATAGAATCAATCATACAATCACGGAATGGCTTGTGTTGGAAGGGACCTTAAGATCAACCAGTTCCAACCCCTTGCCATGGGCAGGGATGCCTCACACCAGACCATGTCACCCAAGGCTCTGTCCAACCTGGCTTTGAACACTGCCAGGGAAGGAGCATTCACCACTCCTCTGGGCACCCTGTGCCAGCACCTCACCACCCTCACATAAAAACCTCCTCCTTTATATCTAACCTGAACTTCCCGTTTCAGCTTTATCCCCTCATCCCTTGTCCTATCGCTACAAATCATGGTTGATCAGCACCTACACACAGCACATAGCTGAGGCAATTCATGGGGTTACATCTGGAGGGGGTTGCTTTCCCTCATGCCTTTAGATGATTCAGTGCTGCTGAATGACAAAGTCGCTTGCTAGACCACCTCTTTCTAACCAGCCCACCTATCGAGCGCAGCAGGATTTCTTTGTGGGGATAATTTGACTTGCCAGAAATAGTCAGACTCACTGACTCTGTTCTAAACTGCAAGGAAATCTTGCATCAAGGTGGCACCATATATTTATTTGCTTTATCGGTTACTTTGAACACCCGCAATAACACGGTGACAAAACAAATTGCAGTCTACATCACTGCAACCCTCACCCCTATTGATTTCAGCTACACAAGTCCAATTAATTGCTTAACAACACCATGAGCCTCAGCAGCTGAATTATACATAGTTCAGCTATCTAAAACACTGATTCAGGGCATTTTAGAGTCCAGGTGGTACTGAAAACGTCAGCAGGCATCTAGAAGGGTCTTTGGCATCCTCGGCATGTTAAAAACCTAGCCCATTTAATTCAGGAAATTAAAATCCTAGGATTGCTGTGATCTGGAATCTCTGATTTTATACGAAATTTAGAGTTATTCTCCATGGCAACTTTCCCATGTTTTTCTCCTTCTCCCTTTTCAGTTCATCGTGCTTATCATTTCCTACTTACTACTGGGTTATCATAGACTCCTCAGCCACCTCCTACATAGCTTTTGAAGTCGTATTGTTATGAAATGAAGACATAAAGAAAGAGAACAAGAATATTGGGCACTAAATGCTTATTCAATGTAAGGCTCCTTTATGAGAGTTACAGGGTGCAAAAAGGCTCTAAAGTGTGTCACTGTGAATTCTGTTTATAGTTACTCACTTTCCCATTCCTCTGTGTTACTGGAGCCACGCAACAAGGCCCAAGTGCAAATGGCAATCAGTCCCCTGGCTTGTATTAAGTCTTCTTAAAACAAACTTTGGCCTATAATAGCTCATAGAAAGGCATCTCACCTTCTGGAACATTAAGAAATCCCAAACAAAACAATAAATGGCTGCAAAAAAAAACCCCAAGATAGCCAAGCTGGGAGCAGAAATTAATTACTACAGTGCACTAGGAGCAGCAAACTGGATGCTGGTGAATCAGCTCATTCGTGGTCCTTCATCGCACTGAAGAGATACCATCAATGGGAAAAGGATTGAGGATTACATCTGTCTGCCTGTCTTTAAAGTATTATCACAAAAGGTGATTAAAGTAATATTGAGAAACAAAAAATACAGAAGAAAACCCTGATTCTGGTTTTCCACTGTTTCTGTTTTGCACTTGACAGGAGCTGGTCCTTCTGCTCAGTTTTACTTGGTGACTCCGGGTGGGGAGTCCTCCCCAAGGTCAGTGTTTACTCCTGGTGACTCTGAATCCTACCCACAGCAACCCTGGAATGAAAATACTTGCCAAAAAAAGAAAAGAAGGGAAAATGTGGTTGCAAACCCATAGAAATTGCCAAGCGTTGGAAGCATGGGAATAGGATCTGAAACTGCTTCAGATTTAAGTTGACTAGATTTTGTTTTGAGTTTGCTCAATTATTGAGCAGCGTATAAAGAAACAATACGTGTCTGAGAAAAACAATGAGCTTTCTTTGCATCTTCTGATATAATTAGCATCCAAGCACAGATTTAGCCTAGTCCTGCACTGGATTCGTATGTATCCCTGCTTAAGAGTCCAGCAGGCATGGCCTTTCCTGGGCACAGGCATCTCTAAGAGGCATCGAGTGCCAGGGTTTGATAGGCTCATGGGTGCTGGGAAGAGGAGTGTGCAGTGCTAGTCCCACCATGGACCAGGATAATCTGCGCTCAGAGATGCTCCACTGCCATGGCTGGGACTGCGCCTGAAGGTCTCGTGTATCCCTGGACAGATGCACAACTAAACTCCTAACAACTTCTTCCATAATTCAGCACGTCAGTCTGCCCGACGGGATAAATAACTGCCCTGTTCGAGGGGATTTGTGGTCCTGGAAAGACACTTCACTGCTCTCTGTTTCCATCACCCCATCGGTCGAATGGGTCCATACAGCACTTACCTATTGGAAAGGGAATTAATGAACACTTGCCAAGCAGACCGAGGGATGAAAAGTTGGGAAGGGAAGGAGCTACCGCATCCCTATGATAACGCCCTGCGCTAGGAGCTATTTGCTCGTTAAACAATGAAATGAGGTCCTTTGGTCGCAGTTAACCGGAGCTTCGCAGGTTACAGACCCCGCGGCGAGGTGCCGCTTGCCGGTGACTCTTCCTGCACTTGTTCTCACCACCGGGAGGCTCTGGGGGAGGGGAACACACCACAACCCCCATCCCAAAGCCACGGGGTTGTTTTACCGGTGCCTTTTCAGCACGAACTCGACGGGCAGGGAACGGGGCACGGCGGCGCTGGGCCGGCACCTGCCCGGGTCCCCAAACCGCGGCGGACCCGGTGTTGGGGGGGACGGACGGGAGGGGGGCGCGGTCCTCCTGTCATCCTGACTCCATTTTATTCCTGCCCATTCTCCATTTGCCGTGACAGCCCTGCCAGTCCGCCCGCCCCTGGCCCCGGGAGGATGGATGGGTTGATGGATGGATGGATGAGTGGATGGATGGATGGGTGGATGGATGGATGAGTGGATGGATGGATGAGCGGATGGATGGATCGGGATGCGGGGGAGCAGCAGCTGCAGCCCCCGCAGGGAGCAGGAGGAGCGGGGGGATGTTCGCACCCACTCCCCTCACCCGGAGCCCGCAGCGTCCCCGGGCCGGGTGATGGGGATGGCGAGGGGGGGCCCTGCCCGCAGCCCTGCCCCTGGGGCCGCCCCCCACCTGCAGCGGACTCCATTTTGCAGCCGGTGGTGCGGCGCTAGGGAAGATCCCCCCCCCCCCCGGCCCGTCCCCGCCACCCGCGGCACACACGACGGGAGCCCCCGCGGCCCCGGCACCCCCCGCCCTCTAACCCCGCATCCCTCCGCCCCCCGGGGACACGCACGGACGGAGGGGAGGGGGGGGAGAGCGTCCCAAAGCGGTGCCGTGGCCGCGCACACGCAGGGATGCCCGCACACACGCAGGGATGCCCGCACACACGCGTGACCGGCTCCCCCCCTTCCTCCTACGGTCCCCTTTATGGGGCACTCACGAAATTGTCTCCGCAGGCGGCCTCCGGGCAGAGCACGTAGAAGGAGAAGCCGGGCTCGGCGTAGAAGTCCATGCGGCGCTCGGTCTCCTCGGCGGCGATGAGCTGGAAGGGCGTGCGGGCGCACCAGCGCTCCGCCGCCTCCGCCAGCGCCTCGAAAGCCATCCCCGGCCCCGGCCCCGGCCCCGGCCCCGCCGCCGCGCTCCTTCGCGCCCAGCCGCCCGTGCAACCGGAGAGGCGGAGCAGGAGGTGGGGTTTGCTGCAGGCAATGGGCTCGACGCCTTTTGGCTACTTGGGAGGAAGTGGGGGGAGAACAGGGACAGGCACACACACACACACACCGGGAGCGCGCTGCCGGCAGAGCCCGCCCCAGCCCCGCTGCGGCTCATCCAGAGCCGGTGCCCCCGGCGCTGGGTTCTGCGGGAGCGACCCAAAGGCGAGGCGCTGCCCCAGCGCAGGGAGGGGGGCTCGCCCCGTTGGGAAGACGGAGGGTTGGTGCCAGTGACGCTGGGCACCAAGGGGGTTGTGGTTCGGTTCGCGTTACTCTTGCCGGTATATCCAAGGGATTCTCTATGTGTCTAGTAGACGCATGGGGTACAAGAGGTGACCAGCGTTTAGAAAGGGCCTTAGATTTGCATCCGTGCCACAAAAGAAAACAAACCCCCACAGACCTGGGTGGGTCTGAGGAGCCTGGAAGCCCAGGATCTCATAGAGATGAGCAGGTAGCACAGAACACATACATGGCGGTGGGTAGAAGACTTTACATGGATAAAGGCAACACTGGTCTTTAAATAATGCCCAGGTGCTGCTGCTTATCTCCAGAGTGGTGTCACTTTGGGGACCTTAGAGCAGCTTCCAGTACCTAAAGGGAGCCTGCAAGAAAGCTGGAGAGGAGCTTTGGACAAGGGCCTGTAGGGACAGGCCAAGCAGAATGGCTTTAACCTGCCAGAGGGGAGACTGAGCTGAGCTCTTAGGCAGAAGCTCTTCCCTGTGAGGGTGCTGAGGCGCTGGCACAGGGTGCCCAGAGAAGCTGTGGCTGCCCCATCCCTGGCAGTGTTCAAGGCCAGGTTGGACACAGGGGCTTGGAGCAAGCTGCTCTAGTGGAATGTGTCCCTGCCCATGACAGGGGTTGGAACTGATGAGCTTTAAGGTCCCTTCCAACCTCACCATAATCATCAGCTCAGCGCTAATGACACCACAGAGAAAACCCTTTGCTGGCACGGGAGCAGATCACTGAAGTATCAGAAAACACCAGTGATGTGAGTACTTGCACAAGCATAACTCAGCCCCTTTGTGCAAGTGGGATGTGATTGCCTGCTGGTTTTGTCACAAAAGGATGTTTCATTTATTTCATATAGATATTCTGGATATAGCCCTCATTTTTGGGGTGCTATTTGAGCAGCAGTGCTGCGCACCCCTCGCTGCACTTGCAGCTGTGCTCCGGCTGTGCAAAGCGTGGCAAGAACAACAAACCTCCTGGCCCAGATGTCTCACATCCCAGAATCTGGGGGTGCTCTTACAGGTACATACCCTGCTCCCCTCGCACCACCTTTTGCAGGGGAAAATGAGGCAACGCTGAATAGCTAGGAAGGAAATCCTGAACCACTTACCATTTCCCAAAGGAGGTGGGGGTCCTGCAGAAACCCAGATGGAGCTAGATGATCTTCAGGTCCTTTCCAACCCTAACGATGCTATGATTCTATGTGACCGCAGGCTGTTGGGAGCTGGCAAGGCTGTGAGTCCTGTGCAGGGTTTTGCAGCTTCATCACTCAGTGTTGGGTGCTTGGTGGTGGGGCTTTTCCCAAAGGTATTTCCATAATTAGCTTGAAAATAGGATGGGGGAATCCAGCCCTTTCTCCTAAAATGTGACATCGCCAGCTTGCCTGCAACCAGTGGGCAGGGAGCCACTGCCTGCGCAGGTACCTCCCCTGTCACAGCACTCCGCTGCCAAGGTCAACCCCGAGCCCATCAACTCTTTGTGCTTCCCCAAGACTTGGCCTTGTTTTCTGTCCTCCTGGCCCATAGCAGCAGGGGGAGGTCAAGGCTGCGCTGCAAGCAGACACAGTTTCACATGCACGGGGTTTGAGTGTTGACACTTGCAATTTATGTGCATTTTCAAAGCCCCACATGAACATCTTTTTAGTCCTTAAAACGTCACACTGAAGTATGCGCTGTTCGTTATCTCCCTTCTGTGGAGCAGGGAAGTTGACAGGCTTTGAATGAGATTTTAAATACCTTATTGCAGCCTGTGCTGCAGACTCCTTTGTCGTGTCTGGCAGTGAAGCCATTCAAACCAGGCAGCCGTGCTTATTTGTTTATTTACATGTGATGGGGCTCTTTGCCTTCCGCCGGTACCTGAAAAGCAGATTATGAAAACAACCCAGTAAAAGACAGTGATTTTGGCAATGCTAGAAAGCAACCTGAGGAAGGGCTGCTTCCAGAGCAAGCCGTGCTCGGCAGCCCTGGCCATCATGCCAAAGGCAGGGGCTGAGGGATGGCAGTGTGCACATGAGGTGGATGCCCTGCCTGTGACAGCCTTCAGGCAGTTGAAAGCAGAAGCACTCCCTGCTCATTTGAGTAGAAGCACAACAGTGCTGAGCTGTGTCTTAGCTTTCCCAAAATACCGTATAAATCACATGCGTGGTTTTGCTTCCGACTTGCTCCAAATAACCATGAGCATCCATGCCCCAAAGGATGGCCACATAAGAGGAGCAGCTGTCTTCCTGGGAGAGAAGAGGGGAGGTCGAGAAGCTGTCTGTTGTGTCAAGGAAGGGAACCCCTACCAGGGGGAAGGTATTTCCCTCTACCCTGTGGGGAGGCACTCACATTTCCATCTCCCTCCAGGACACAGCAGTTCCGGTGTTTTCCATCACCCAAATCCAGGCCATCACGAGGTCAGGGAAACATTGCTACCTCGTTTCACGGGGATACCACTACCCAGTAACTATCCCCTAGTCAATGCAGAGCTTTCAGTGGTGCTTGCACCATCACAGCTCCACAGGTGTTTTCACCAAGCCTGTAGCAGCATTAAACAACCTGCTGCAGTAGTAGGTTCTTCCAGGGACTCAAAATGAGTGACCCTTGCCCAGCAAGCCAGTTTTTAACTGCTGAGCATCTACATTAAGGTTAATAAAGTGCAAAATTCCTGGATGCTGCAATATTTCCAACCTACCCATCACGTGCTGCATCCTCCCTGAGTGTACAACCCCATCCTCTGAGGCTGGAGTCCAGCAGCCAGCACACCGGTGTCTCGGTTCCCCACCTATGCTCTGGAGGGTACTCAGCTTTCCAGAGCATCTAGACAGGAATTTGGGTTTGTCTTGTCTTTAATGAGGAACGTCGCTCCGGCTGTCATCTTTGCTTTGGGCTGCTCTTGGGTTTTAAACCCATCGCCATGGTAAACGGAGTTGAGAAAAGAGCAAGAAAACTGTGAAGGAAGATCCGAGCCAAGAAGATGCTGTCGAGGTGAGTTAGAAATGCTTCCCAGTTAAGTTTTAAACTACCAACAAATGCTGGTTAAAACTCTGTACAGAATGAAGACCCCGCTGCTCCCACAAATCCGGACATCCTCCTCTTGAAGTCAACGGTTGAACATCCTATTGCTGTGGCAGTAAGAAATCAAGCAAGTGACAAAAACCTGGGCTATGCAAAATCCATGTGCTGATTAGGAGCTTTCCCTGGTGGTGCTCCAAAATATCAAACAGCCCCCAGATCTGTCCTCCTCCAAGTCCCTGCTTTTTAGGAATAGGAAGATCATGTGCTAAATGTGAGGGAGAACATACTGATGCTGTGCCATCTTCCCGGTCCTGCAGGCAGCTAGTTCTGAAGTCTCTATTGCTCTTGTAGACCCGGACCAGCAGTATCACAGCACAGTGCTGGGTGTACTAATAGCTGTGTCTCCACGCTCAATAGTGCTGTGCATTCACTAAAGCAATGGCTCATTACGTTTGTGAGCAGTGTACCAAACTAGCATGGAAACATTTGATGGCTCAGCAAACTTAACACATGAGGCCAAATCACTGCACCTGAAGCTCCATAGATATTGTCATCCATCCTCTCTTTATTCCGACCCTCAAAGGCCAGCACAAAGCCTTCGTCCTCTGCATGTAGGTAAGAACAGCACCAGCTGATTTTGAAAGCAGCTGGTTTTCCTTGAAACTCCCTGAAGCACAGGTTGTGTGTACATTGAATATCCAGTGCCCGTTTGGAAATGCTCTGACTGATCTCAAATACAGACACGATAGCAGGAGGGAAGAGCTGTGAGCTTTGTTTAGGGCCAGCCAGCTGAGGGTCAGCAAGTAGCCAGGCAGACGTGGTGAGAGGTGAGGCTTGGTGAGCCCAGGCTGAATGCAGGGATGGGAGAAAATGGGAGGAGAGCACAGGACAGCTTCTGCCCTGGCATCTCTTTTGACACAGAGCTCCTGATACATCAGGGTTCCTGCCTTTTTCACCTGGAAGTGTCTGCCAACACTCTTGGTTCCCGTTGGATCTGTGTAGCCATGAGCAGACCATGCCAGGCAAGCCAAGCGGAAGGTACGTTATGGATTGGTTCATTAAGAGCTGAAAGGTGATTTTGCAAAGACCTGAATGTCAAAAGGCACCATAGCCTCTTCAGGCAAGCAGGATTTTGTTGTCAATTTGCTGTCCTTTATGAAATTGAAAGGGCACAGGCCTGCAGACTGGCCTTGATTTTCAGATGAATCCCTCCCCTAGTATAAAAGATATTCTCATAATAGTCCCAAATTAGTTGATTGCTTGAAGTGCCAGAATCCTTAATGCTCTGCTATTTTAAACATATGGAAATTGATTCAACACTTATCATCTATTTAGAGATGTAAATTTATTGATGCCACTTCTTCCTCGGCTCCAGGCAAGCTCTGATACTTAGCTTTCTGGGCACAAGCAGGTTTTTATGACGACTGGTGATTTTAACTCCACTGATTTATTTTCCTTCTCAAGGCTGGGAGAAGCAGAGGAAAATTGACCATATTGTCTACTGAGAGGAAAAAGATACTGGTACAAGCACTGGTATGGCAGATACTGCCTTATGAAGACATGGCAATACCTGGCCCATTGTAGCCTGAGGGTCCTTTCCCAAGCATGGACACTGGCCCACATCTTGTTCTAGCTTCTGTTGCAATTGCTCTGTCCATAGGTCCACACTGATGTTGGAAGCATCACTCATTTCTGTTCCTTGCTTTAGGGGAAGAGAGGTGAAAAACCAAGTGCAGACAGTGACAGCAATGACA